AAATTAATGGGTCAATTAATTACATCGAATTTCCACCAATGGCTACAGCACGACCGTAACACTTTCATGAACAACTTTTTTTTGCTTGTATGATTGATTATCTTTGTGTTTTGCTTGGTCTTTTATGTTTTTCCCCAGTTTTTTAGGCCAAGATACTCTGCATGGTTGTGCTGCAATTTTTGGGAGATTTTTGTGTTTTGCTCGCTCATCAAACAGACCAACATGGACCAAAACAGACCCATTTTCATATGTCACAAGCTGATTTTTGGCTATTGGTCTTGTGGTGCGAAGCATCAGCCATTTCAAACCCCTAGAACCACAAGGTAGCACCAGACTGGATGGGGTTTCATAATAGTGTTTCAGTTCAGTTTGGAAAACACGGGCTTGTATGCAAATCATGCATAGGCTCGTCAAGCAACCTGACGCCAAGTTCAATGATCGTTGTTGGACTTACAACTATCTTTTTTTATTGATCAAAGCCCTTGTTTTATTTGTCTTCCGAGTGTTTCCTAAATTGCCTATGTTGCTCTATTGGACAAGACATTAGGACTTGTCCATCACTCATTTTCGAGTCTAATCAACTTTCTCTTTTTGCAAGTCCTAGACCAATGCAAGGTTGCACTTAGGCTGACTCTAAACCCTAAACCCTTTGTGGACTTAGGCAATTCTAGTTAAGTACATTTAAGAGACCAAGATCATGATACATTCATTTTTTCCTTAGCAAGTAGATAGGGAAACATAATACTACATATGAACATTAATTGAACCACACAAGAAGATCAAACCTACTAATTTCCATTACAAAATGTTTAGCAGTAATCAATGAAATGATATACTATTACATGTGAACAGAATTGGACAACACAGTGGTTAGCAAAAATTAAAGAAGCCATACAGTAAATATCAAGAGAACGAAAACAAAGAGAGCTAAAGTTTTCTAATATGAGAATCACATAAAGAAGTATCAGTTCCATTAACAATTGAATATTGTGAAAATGATTCAAAAACCATCAAACTAGTCGTATTCTAGGAGAAAAAGTATGCATACAAGTTTTAATGATTTTTTAGCTTTCAAGAAAAAGAATACATATGACCTTGGAATAACACTCAAAGGCTAATTAATGCATCCTTGGATTCTGCCATCAAATATACGTCATCTTATTGTGCCAATAAAAATTTATAAGTTGTCTCCAGAACAATTAAAAAATGAGTGGGTTTATTGAGCAATTAAATAATTAAAGGATTCTATATGTAGTTCTTAAGCTTGTAACCAGCAGTAAACTCAGTGTCCACCATATAAATTGTTTCTGGATTTTGGGGAACAATGGAATGCACCTAAAAACCTAAACACCTAGTTAAACATTAAATACTTATAGCTCAAGCTCATGCTAACCCAGAGCGGGTATCCAAAATGCCCTAAAAAATCTAAACAGAATCTAGAAGGGGGGGATACAAACAACTTCCTAAATGACAAAATGTTTATCTCAAAAGCTCAACTAAGCATATCATCCAAGAATAACAACCCAAAGTGATCTCTATATTTTCGAAAGCCACTGAAGCTAGCTACCCTTCAATTTTCTTTAGATCAATTTAATATAGGTCCATAGGATTAAGGTCCATTTTTGCCCCTATGGTTTTGACCATGGACCACTTAAGCCCTTATGGTTTACTCGTGTCTAAAATAACATATATATTTTAAAAAACATAGCATATAAGTCCCTATGATCAAGTCTGAGTTAACAGACGTTATAATATGCTTACGTGACATGCTGAATCATAATAAACCATTAATATAATGACACGTATAATTTAAGTTTAAAAAGGATTAAGGTCCATTTTAGCTCATATGGTTTTGGCCATTAACCACTTAAACCCTTATGATTTATTCATATCTAAAATAACCCTTATATTTTTAAAAACGTAGTATATAAGCTCATAAGTCTGAGTTAGCAGATGTTAGAATCTGCTTACATGGTATATTAACTCACAATAAACAATTAATATAATGACACATATAATTTAAGTTAAAAAAAAACTAAGATCACCATCAATGGCGGGAGAAGACATCGTTTTGGAAGTGACCACCAGTAGTGGCACTGAGTCGTTGCTGTCTAGCACAGTTTTGTACGCACGAAGGCTCTCCCACGCTAACGATGACCGTAGGAGCTTTCGATCCTGCCTCAGGTGGATGTACGTTGACCGATTCGACGCTAGACACGTAGTGATCTCCTAGTCCCTCTTTCTCCTCCTGGGCATCTTCGTCCCCACCGCCTCCCACTTCATCCTCTCCTGCACCCTCACCCGCCACGCCTTTAACGTGGTGGTCCAATCTCTCTCACTTCCACCTCCGGCCTCTCCTACCTCTACCTCTCCACCTTCGTCCGTCGTTATGCCTCCGTCGCTTTCTCTTCCTTGGTAAGATGGACCTTAACCATATTTAAACTTAAATTAAACATATCGTTATACTAAAGGTTTATTGTGAGTTAGCATGTCACGTAAGCAGACTCTAACATATGTTAACTCAAACTTGACGAGAGGAGCTTATATGCTATGTTTTGAAAAATATAGAGATTATTTTAGACACGAGTAAACCATAAGGGCTTAAGTGGTCTATGATCAAAACCACAAGGACGAAAATAGACCTTAACCCTTTTTTAAACTTAAATTACACGTATCATTATATTAAAGGTTTATTATGAGTCAACATATCACGTAAGCAGACTCTAACATATGTTAACTTAGACTTGACAAGAAGAGCTTATATGTTATGTTTTAAAAACGTATAGTTTATTTTAGACACGAGTAAACCATAAGGACTTAAGTAATCTATGGCCAAAACCACATGGACTAAAATGAACCTTAACACTTTTTTAAATTTAAATTACACGTATCATTATATTAATGATTTATAATGAGTCAGCATGCCATGTAAACAAACTCTAATGCCTGTTAACTCAGACTTAACGGGAGGAGGTTATATGCTACGCTTTTAAAAATACAGAAATTATTTTAGACATGAGTAAACCATAAAGACTTAAGTGGTTTATAACCAAAACCACAAGAGTTAAAATGAACCTTAACCCTTTAATATAATGCTTTAGATTGACAAATCAGAGCAAGTCATAAGTAGCAATCATATCAAGAAAAGCATTTTGTACTTCTGGTAAATGAAATGCCACCGATGGATTGGATGATAATGGGGATAGGATTAGTATTTGCTCGGTAATATCTGAAACAGATGTACTTAGTCATTGAAAGAATGAGTAATGCCAAAACCATAGCACAATTGACACTCAAAATATTACTAGAATTCCAGAAAAAAGAACCAAGATGCACAAAGTAGTAAGCAAGTGCTTTATAAGGCATATTAGCATCCTAGATTTGTTATACATTGCATCAAACCTAAAGCATTTCAAAACAAACATAATCAAACATTCAAAATAACTCCTTTTAACCAAAAAGAAAATCGAAGATTAACTCCAAGCGGTACCAATCAGAATGCAATCAACTTAAAAAGAGCACTTATTCTTCATAATATCTAAAATGAAATGGGGAAACGTCCGGTAACCAAATACCCCCTTGACAACAGGCGAATCATGAGAGGTACGCGGGGATCTTGATGCGGATGAAGAGCATGCTCATGAGGTAGGCGATGACCACGGCGGAGATCCCGAAGGACGCGAAGGAGATGCGGACGCTGCGGGCGCGGTTGCGGTCGAGAGCAAGGTCCATCAGGATCAGGCCGACGCCGCCGAGCACAAACATGAATCCGGAGGAGAGGCCCTCGATGATGTACTGGCCGTTGACGCGGCCGGGGAGGAAGACGACGGGGCGGACGGTGCCGGTGAAGTGGTCCTGGGTGCTGCCGATGCCGGGGGGCTCGACGATGACGTCGTAGACAAGCCCGGAGACCACGGCGAAGTAGGTGAGGAGGACGAGGGAGAAGACAGTCATCGGGGAGGGGAGGGCCAGGGAGGAGGGAAGCTTCAGGCGGGTGCGCGGCGGGCGGAGGAAGCTGTAAGGGAGGATCCTGAGGAGGTGGAGGAAGGGATCCATCGAACCCTGGTCCGAGGGTTGGGAGGCACCCGCGCCGGCAGCGGTGGCTTGCTCCGATTTGGGCGGCATGGTGCGTGCTCGCGGACGCCTTTCTCGGCTTCGGCTCTCCGTGTGAGTTATCCCGATTGGGGATCTAGGGTTGGTGGTAGCACTAGCTTAGACGGATCGGACCGGCACCCGGTTCAATGTAGGTGAACCGGGTCGACTTTCTTTTCTGATAATTAATCGGGGTAATATATCCCGAAAAGCCTCTCATAATTAATTTTTATTTGAGAGTGCCTATCTTTTTAAATTTTATCTATTATCTTCAAAAACTTATCAGATTCGAACCTCCTAAATCAGACACATCATCATCAAACTAATATTTTAAATATAAAAAATTCTTAATTTTGATATATAAATTTGACACATTTCAATCAGATCAGTAGTTTTAGAGACAAAAAAATATTGATCCTCGATAAATGAGTCACATACATCACCCTATAATATTTTAGACGTGAAAATTGTGTTTAATAAGATCTGGAATGTTTAATTTTTTATAAATAAGTATAATAATATAAAATCAGTAGACACACAATCATAAAGCCAATATTTTAGGTGTGATGTTAATTAAACTCTCAACCGTTGATATGTAAATCGAATATATCGTCATCATTGATAATAAATCATTATGCAAAGTTCACGCTGAATAATCGTTTGGGCTTTGAATTCCCTCACCTCTTTTACACGTGACAGCTATGAATGAATTGGACACAGCAAGATCCAAACTGAAGCAAAGACCAAGTAACATTCACCCACGAGACACGAGACAGGTAGAAGATGACATTACTTTCATTCAATTCATTTGGCCTGGCCTGAACTGTAAAGACATGGCTTAAAAGACCAACAGATGTAATGGACGAACTGTAAAGAAAAGTTGGGAGTCAAAGGTCGGGAAGGGCATAGCAAGAAGCCAGCACTTAAGTCCCCATTTGGGGTTAATACATTGGTACACGACAGAGTACAGAAAATGACATTATTAGATGACGTACACTATAAAACTTGTCTTTAATCAATCATTCCGTATTACAAGAGATAGCGAGAATAAACATACCCCAGAAAAGGGGAAACCGAATTAACCAACTCAACATTTGATGAGGCTTCCTCAGTACCAGGATGAATCAATGTAGAGTTCAACTGCAGTAGTACACGAACAAAGCAATGCAAGGCTATGCCCACGTCCCACTTCCATGGTAAAAGTCCAAAGCTAGAGTAGCATTAAAGGGGATAGAATGCAGCATGCCATCTTTCTATCTAAATAAATGCACAACTCCATTTGTACACAGATGCAAAGGTTGTGTAGCTATTTTTTGGTGCTCAATTGCAGTCTAATCCACACTCCTCCAGAAGGGGGCCATCTGATTTTGGAAGGAATGGATCAATCCGTACCCACAGCAGAGAGAAAATTGAAGCAAGGAGAATGGACCAGACAATAACAATTGTAGGTGTCCGGTTCTGCCGACCAACAAGACCTTTGAGGAAAGGATACAGGTGAACGATCACCCAGAAGGAGAAAAAGAGTTTCCCAAACAGAGGTCCCCAGGATTCATATCCGTTGTTGATTGCATTAGAGACACCAGCTACCACACCGATGAAGTTCACGATAAGCAAAGTTGTAGGAGGAATGAGCAAAGTGGTCCATTTGAATGTGTACAACTCGGAGAACTCTTCATCATCACCTGCCTTTGTTGTCACTGTGAAATTGGTGTCTATACCTGCAAGGACCTTTAAAAGCCCCTGAAACACCGCAAAAAGATGTGAGGAAACACCTCCGATGACCCAAAATTGCTCATTCCTCCACCAGTCATCAATGCCAACACCACTCCATCTCATTTCCAGGATGCTCGTTGCAAAGATACAAATGAAAAGTGACAGGAACCAAAGACTTGCCACATTGCTAAGCTGCAATTTACAATAGAACTCATTATTAGCATCAAGATATAAAAACAAAGAAATCCATTTGGAATTTCAAAATGAAAAAAAAAAATAACAAACCTCTGGGGTGATGAATTTTCCAGTTAGCAAGCAAACAGCAGGCAAGGTGCAGTAGGCCAAAAGAGGAATTGATGTCCATGGATAAACAGTAGCATTAATGTACGAAAGCCGTTCCAACCATTTAAGCCCACCTCGGTATCCATACCAAAGAGGACAGTGTTTGCTTAAGAAAATTTCCACAGACCCAAGAGCCCACCTAAGGACCTGGTGGAGACGATCTGAAAGATTCAGAGGTGCGGAACCTTTGAATGCAGGTCTTCCTGGTATGCAGTATATAGATCTCCACCCATGGCAATGCATTTTAAATCCTGTTAATATATCTTCAGTCACTGAGCCGTAGATCCATCCAATCTGTATGGAAAGCCTAGCAAATTAGGAAGACACCTTTAGAATACAAAAAATATCAAGACCAAAGAGTTACCTCTTTTCCCCAGTCCGTCTTATCTTCATAACCACAGCTAATAACATGAATTGCTTCCTTTAATAATGATGCCGGAGTAGCACCTTTTAGTGTTCCACCATTCTCGAGGAGAGTAGATGCCACAAAAACAGGAGACTGTCCAAATTTCTTTTCTAGCTTCTGTTCAGACATCAGCTTTTGTTTGTCATTCTCATTTCCTGTAATCGTACTAAAAGATTAGCACATTGAAATTTTATGAAAAACACATACAAAAATTTCTGATGTATTTTCAGACAGCTGTATGGTTATGCTTTCATATGAATTAGTGAATGCCTAAAAGTGAGAAATGAATGATCAGACTGTAGGTCTAAAGCTTGTGACAGACTACGAAAATATATATTGAGGTCAAAGCACTTGAAAAATACAAAATAGACAATAGCATGACACCACTCTTTCGGAGCATTATGATCAACCAGTGATCTAGCATGAGTTAGAGCATATAATAGCTACTTAGCTACATGAGATAATCCATGGTGGTTTACTTCAATTCAATATAACATTTTACAAAAAGACTTCTGTTTCCAACAGAGAAAATCCAGAGAAAATGAGTTGATGCCAAAGAGTTAATATACTGAAAATACTCTTAAGATGAAATTAATATAGGATTCTCTAAGAGATATACTCTCAATTATTGGGGCTGAGTAAATGGATTATGTTCTTTCTCAATGTTCGTGACCATTTGATCACTGGAACAACAAAATATATAACAAGAAACACCAGAAGGTTGTCAAACTACACATGGAAGTATTGCATCAGCCTGGTCAATTTGAATTATATATTAAAGTAGCAAGTCATAGTGCCTGACCAGCGACAGACAGATGTACCTTGCTTGCCATCTTCAATTCCCTCCAGTGCAAGCACTGGTGCTCCATTATCGCCTCTCCAAGAACTATTCCTTCTCTTTTCCTGTTTAGCTTTTGCTGTTTTCTTCTTCCTTCTGCCAGAACAACAGCATCCACAGCAGCACCACTTAGGCCAGCAATTGCAAGTCCTCGTTGGTGGCTTCTTTGACTTTGGAGCATCATATCCATAAAGTGCCTGTCTTCTAAATGCACATCCAGTGCCGACATAAATGGGTCCTTGAATCCCATCCAAACCTTTCATATTGATCTGCATCATTTCTTTGTTTTATTTCTCTAAGAATGTAAGGCATATGAACTCTTTAAACGAAGGACTTGTACAAAAATCAATTGAAAGTGATGGCATGCCAATGCTTACATCGAAAAACACTATGTTCCGATTAGCATAGCGATCATGTCGATCAATACCATCAAACCGCTGGGGGAACTGCACATAGCACACTTTTTTTGCTACAAGTGGATCCATCATGAAGCACATTGCCTCTCGTATTGCCTTGCTATTGTTGAAGTAGTGATCACAGTCCACGTTCAACAAATAAGGTGCATTTGTAAGTACAGCAGAGACTCTAACCTGCCAAAACCAATAGAACCACTAAATAAGTAAACCTAGAGCTACTGTTACATTAACACAGAAAAATTTATCCAATTGACGGTTTGGTACCAAAGCATTCATGGCGCCAGCCTTTTTGTGATGATTAAAACCTGGCCTCTTTTCTCTAGAGACATAAACCAAACGTGGTAGTTCATTCCCTTCCACATCATGCCCACCACTTTGCCCCAAAAAGACCTAAAAGGTTATGATAAAAAGCAAAAAAGTCAATTGAATTGGCAAAAAAAACAGCTGGTTGTGTTACCACTGCAGCATATAAAGCAACAAGAGACAGACAATTTACCTGAATCATGCCTGGATGGTCACGGACATTATTTCCAGGCCATGGTGTTCCGTCCTGCATCGTCCAACCTTCTTCTGGTACCTTTTGTGCTTTTGCAACCAGTGCATTTATTCGTACCTTAAATTCCTCATATTCCCTCTGCAAAGAATATCAAATTGTGCCAAATTATTTATGTCCATATTTTACTAACGAAAATATACATAGTATTTTTCATACCTTCATTGCTCTTCGTTCCTTGATAAATGAAGGATGGACCTTATCCTTTAGATAATCTATCTTCTGCTGAAAATACCATTCAGGTGCACGAGGCTCAATATTGAATTTCTTACAGAAAGGAGCCCATTTCTTTGCAAATTCAGATGTTTCTGATAATGCTTCAAATGTCAGCATAGCAGCACCATCATCAGAAACATAGCAGGATACTTTTTCTACAGGATAATCTACAGCTAGAATTGAGAGAACAGTGTTTGCAGTGATTAAAGGGGGTTCCTTCATTGGATCAACTGTACTCACAAATATGTCTATAGGAGATAGTTGAGAAGGTTGCCCTTCTTTTTCATACCTAAGAAAAAGTATAAACAGTTAGGCAAATATAAAGTAATCATCAAAGGTGAACAAAAGCTATCATCTGGACAACCTCAACTACCTTAATGACAGTCTATCAAGATAGGTTTCCCTTTCAATTGGAAGCCACTTGGGAAACTGATCAAGAATCCACGAAATAGCAAACCAGATTTCACAGATGACGGATATAAGCCACAATGGATATGCATCAGATGCAGGGTTGGTGATACGGTAATGGAAGAAGAACCCAACAACTACGAGACGAATTATGATGATCATTCTGTACGGATTTATTTGGCTAGAAGGAACTGGCAGCTTTCTTGACAATGGTTGTCTTGCTTCATCCATTCTATAGAAGACAAATTGAATGGTAAGTTACAGTAATTCTAGTCAAATGTCAAAACTATTCAAACATGACAACTTATTTGGCTTATAAATAAGCATTATTAGATACAAGCAGGACAATATCTGATGTCACCATTGCCTTGACAATATTAGAAAACAACATTTGACCAAATTTCACATCATAAATTAATAATAGTTGCAGAATCCTGTTGTACATGATAAAATATTCCAAAGTTGTGCCTAGAAAACTCAATTTCATAGCTATAATAAATAGGCCTTGTCAAAGAGATCGAACTTGCTATAATTAATGTATCCTTTCTGTTTTATGGAAAATTAATGTATCCTAACTTCTACTCAAGCTATATTCTTGTGATAACTTGTCCAGAGATAGCAACCAGAGTATTATACTTTCCCAACTTTTCTGTAAAGAAAAGTGTTTGCCCCCACTCCATATGGCAACTAGTTTTGGTCACACTCACTTCATACTGATGAAGGGCTGTTAATATCAATTTCATTATAAAAGTAAATGACCATTAAATGGAACAAACCCATATCCGTTTGTTATAATGCTAATTATACTAGTTGGTCAGCCTAATTTCCACAAAAATGAACCAAATGTAAGAATTTAGGAGGATCAGGTATCCTGATGTCTTGATGAAAAATCATGAGAAGCAACTACAGCCATGTAAACAAGAACTCGCAAATAATGAAAGAAAAAATTACAGTGAAATTCATGATTTATAACTGGTGCATAAAGTAGCTCTTTTCTTGTCAAACAAAAATTATGGAGTTCTGACATTGTGGAAGTTCTGAGCTAAAACGTACATCAGCAATTGCATCCGAAAGGGAGTTCTAAAACCATCGTAGAACTATTCGAAGATGTATAAACACAAAATATCAGACTTTAGAACTAGAGTAAACCATTGTGAAAATGCTACTAAAATACAATATTTCAAAGATTACATAAGACATTTAACAGGATTCGATGCTTACAGTGGTAAATCAGGTTCCTCGTTATCATTATTCCAACCTTTACCACCACCATCATTCCTCATCTTGTGCATTTTCTCTTGCTTCTGCCTCCAATTCTCCATCCGCTCCTTCCAATCCACGTTCCCATATCCGTATGTCGAGAGATCCTTAGAAGGATCCAAGGATCTAAGGTGCACTGCACAGGAAGAGATTTGGCATTAATTCCTTGATAAACTAGAAAACATGAAGGATCGACATTATGATTTCTCATCCTTAGATAAGTAGAATCAAGGTTCGCCGTATCAAGGTGTACCACTTGGTACAGGTGGTATGTATTGGTCTAACAAGAGATTTGTAGGAGCGGTACATCAGTATGTCCCATCATATCATATGTTGATACATTCAGTTATAGCTCGGTATGTACCGTATCGATAGCTGATCAGTACATTGGTACGAAACGATAAGACGAACCATGAGCAGAATATCCTATTGGTAGTGCAGAATCTGGAATACCTGGAAGATTGGGATCTGAAAAGGGAAGCGGATAAATCTTTTTCCCTCCACCACCCATGAATGAAGGAACGAGAGCATGCTGTTCTGGACGAATGTCATCAACCTGGAAACAAAACGAACTCATCCATCAGTATAGAAGGGTTTTACTGCTCCCGAGGCAATGAGAGTAAGGTGTGAGCACAAGTACCATCTCGCCATTGGTGAGGAGAGGGACTTGAGGCACAGTATGAACCACATAAGGCGTGTTGATGTCACCCTGGTGGCCATAACTCATGTGGGTCTGCAGCATGGCCTCAGCTATGTACTGTGAGTCCTGCTTTTCTCCCCTGACGAAGTTGAATTCATTCTCAAGATCATCAATGTTATCCTCTTCTTCATCACCAGCCACACGAGGACACCCTGCATAGTGCGGACAACAAAATACAACAATCTGTCATGAAAGATTAAGGCTAGAGAAATCTACTACGAGAGAATTAGAAGTCATGAAATTATAGGTTAACTACAAGAAGAATAGGTGTTTATTACGAAAAGGAACTAGGCCAGAGAGATGTACTAAGGGTTAACTACAAGAAGAACCAAAGTATAGGTGTTTGTTATAATGCCAATTACAGTGCTTGGAACATAACGTGAACCAAATCATACAACCAAGAACCCATGGTGAGGGAAAGCAAATTATAGAGAGATCTACTACAATTTTTAACCAGGAAGGAGGCATTGAGGGCATGCTTTTAGGTTTCTTACCCTTGAGCCGCTTGAACCTGGTCTTGCACTGGGGGCAAATCTGGTTGCCCTCCCGGCGCTCGTACTCGTAGCAAGTCCTGCAAATGGGGAAGGCGCACTCGTTGCAGGCGACGAAGAGATCCCCGTCGACGGTGAGGCCGACGTCGTCGCCGCAGATCTGGCAGATTTGCCCGCTTAGCTGCTGCAGCGGCTTCGGCTGCAGGCGGAGATCGAATCAAAACCTTC